TATCCATTTTTCAGTTGATGGGCATTGGGTTGTTAGGTCTTTCTGCTTTTATATAGCATTTTTCAAAGAAAAATAAATATGGGATATGGTTGTTTACAAATTCACCCCCAGTCTGTGAGCTTAGACAGATTGTCCATTGAGCTTGCCAGATGCTGCTTACAAAGAAAAATGGGTCAGTCATAGTACAGGAATCATGCAGTTCCTGCCTCAGATCAAAGAATCCGAGCAAGTGATGGCCACTTAGAAAGTTTGACTTTTCTGCTCAGTCTGTTCTCCCAACGGCTTCAGGTTTCTGGAATTATCATTCAGCGGAACGTCTTCATTTCCTGGGATACATCTGAAAAAATACCCCAGCTCACATCGAAACAAAAAGCCCACCAGCCCTGGGGACAGCATTGCCTTTAATCAGTTTGGACTCATTCTCTTAGGCTTTTCAGTACTGACAGGCTGTTGTCCAGCACACTTGATTATCCAGCTCAGGAGTGCTAAAAGAGAAGTCCAAAGATAAGGTTACTGGGAAAATTCCATTCCCTTAGTCTTTCGACACTCACCTTAATGGCAGTTCTGACATGTCAGGAATTTTCATTTCGATTTTAGAGAATTTGCAGTATGAGACGCAACTCACCAGACTTAAACTGACGATCAGGGTTCATATCCCACCCTTGGGATAGCTACGTAATCTTAAGCAGATTTCTAACCCGTAAGGTGGAAATAATAATACATACCTCAGAAGATTTGAGGGTTAAGTGAAATGATAGATCGTCTACTACTCGGTGCCTAATAAATGTGGGCCCTCCTCCCTCCTGCTTCATTTACAGATGTTTATGAAGTTTGGATAGGACCGTCATGCAAAAGTACCTAGGAAAATGCCTGAAACTTGGAAGTTATTCAGTAAATCTTAATTGAATTGAGTAGTGTGTGAGGGAGAGAGAGGCAGACAGACACCATCCCAGTTAGTTTTTACTGTGTAACAAACCACTTCAAAACTTAAGTGTTGGTGGTACAGGGATGAGTATAGCTACCTCCCAAAAGTTAGTGGCCAGAGGTGTGATAGCGGCCGGGGCTGCCTGACTTATGAAGGCCTCAACTAAAACAGTCTGTTGACTAGGGTCCCTTGCCACATGGTATTTTGCCATCCAGCAGGCTCACTCAGCATCATTTGCATGGTAGCGGGCCACACAAACATTTCTCACACCCCTGCTTATAAGGTTGCTTGTGTTTCAGTGACCAAAGGGAGTCCCATGGCCAAGCCCAGGTCACTGTGGGAGGGAATTACCAACGGGTGAGGACACTGGGAGGGAATCATCATGGCCATTTGTTGCAAACATTTTATCCAAGATACTAACTATTACAGAAGTACAGATCTGTTTCCTGAGAATTACCAGTCTAGAAAATCAGAGTGAGACAGGTGCTATAATTTAATTACGGTGTTAGTAAGAAAATGTTGGTCACAACAGGAGTGCTCACTGCTCCGTATTAACACACGAAGCACCGTAACACATAAGGGAGGAATATTGTGATGCAGGCGGTCAGTTTCTGGAAGCACTAAGTTCAGGAATCACAAATACACCTAACCCTTTCTCTTTTTTGAGTGCATGCTGTTTCCTGCCGGTAGACTTGGCTTCTCCTACCAGTTGATTCATTCATGTCTTCAGCTTTTTTTTTTTTTTTAATTTTTTTTAATGTTTTTTATTTATTTCTAGGAGAGAGAGAGAGACAGCATGAGCAGGGGAGGGTCAGAGAGAGAGGGAGTCACAGACTGAAACAGGCTCCAGGCTCTGAGCCGGCAGTCAGCACAGAGCCCGACGCGGGGCTCAAACCCACGAACCGCGAGATCATGACCTGAGCGAAAGTCGGACGCTCAACCGACTAAGCCACCCAGGCGCCCCACTTCAGCTTTATTTATATAGAACATTTTTATAACCAACATTGTATACAATTCGGGCCAAGGAAAATGTGGTCACCTCTTCCATCTGTTTTAAAAAAGATACCTGCTCCCCACCCCCACCTCCAAAAAAACCCTACTAACAACAACAACAACAAAAAATTCAGAGTCAGAGACTGTCTTGTCACAAGTATTTGTTGAGCCCTAACTACTTTTTGCTTTGGTCTGGTCTTTGGTTTATGCCCGTACACCTCTAAGCTGTGGCATATTTTAGATTAGAGGTTATCAAGTGTGATAATCCCTCTGGAGATAAGAGCATCTTTTGACTGGTTATCAGTAACTGAGCGTAAATATGTTTTCATAAGTTACTGTCAACTCATAGAACTAGGAAATTTTCTGAGCTGTAAAGGAAAGTGGGAAATAATGGTCCAGGGGCCTCTTTTCGTAGATTGGAACCTATGGTGCTCCCAGGATTTTATGTTTGGACCAAAATCTGGGTCTTTGAACCCCAGGATAGGGAGGTTTTTTTTTTTAAGTTTACTTATTCATTTTGAGAGAGAGAGTGACCAGAGGAGGGGCAGAGAGAGAGGGAGACATAGAATCAGGATAGTTTTTTAAATATAAATATATATATATATATATTTTTTTTTTTTTTTTTTTTTTTTGAGAGAGAGACAGAGAGCACACATGCAGGAGCAAGAGAAAGGCAGAAAGGGAAGGAGACACAGAATCCGAAGAAGGCTCCGGCTCTGAGCTGTCAGCACAGAGACCAACACAGGGCTTGAACTCACGAACCATGAGATCATCACCCTGAGCCAAAAGTCAGACACCTAATGGGCTGAGCCACCCAGGCGCCCCTTCCACACCTAGGTTTTAAATGCATTCACACAAGTTTTCTCATAGTACTTATGGTTTCCATTCTTACCATCGAAGCTTTTACCATTTGGAGTTTTCCTGGTTTAAGATGTGAAGTGTGGATCCAACTCCGTGTTTTTCCAAATAACTGTCTAGTTGTTTGGAAGCCATCTGGGCTCTCTATTTTGTTTCAGGACTTCCTGTCCTGGTCAGCTGATTGGACTGTCTAGACAGGACATATGAAAGGACACCGTATGCTGTATGTGCCATGAGATTCTATATTAAGGGACACTGTATACTGTGTGTGACCGCTGTCACTAGCACTGTGACGGTTGCGTGGCTCCAGGAGGCTCTGGAAATACTCTTTTTCTCTCTGTGGGATTGTGTGGAGGCTGCCGCATAGTTGTTTCTGGTCCCAGAGGAGCAGCCTGATCAAAAGTACTTGTTGGCAAATCCAAAACACCTCTGCTTCTACAAGTTTTATTTTGTTGTAGTCCCTTCAGAAGTAGATTATGAAATAATACCTTAAGTTTAACTCAAAAATTCAATAAATTAAGCGTGAAAAGCCGTTAATGTGGTACCTTGAACAGACCAAACAACACACACACTCACCACATAATCCTTAACCAATCTTAGTTAAATATCATGTGTAATTCCTCATAAGTGAGGAGGCACCAGTGAAGTAGGCTTTGGGCAGCATCTGGAAGTGGGCAAATCTGGGCTTGGCTGCTCTTGAACTTGGCAAAGGTAAAGTGAGATGACAAACATCCGAGAGGCAGTCAGGGTGCCGGCTTGACACTGGACCAGGCAGGCATTGGGAGATGAGGTTGATGGGGCACAGGTATGTGTCTAGGAGAGAAACACTAGCAAGCGACCCCTCCCCAACCACTTCTTAATTTTTAAAGAATTTTTTAAGTTTACTTATTTCTTTATTTATATATAGAGACAGCATGAATGAGATGAGGCAGAGAGAGAGAGAGAGGGAACTCCAAGCAGGCTCTATGCTGTCTTTGCAGAGCCCCACATTGGGCTCGAACTTGTGAATCATGAGATCATGACCTGAGCCAAGATGAGGAGTTAGATGCTTAACTGACTGAGCCACCCAGGCATCCCTCCCATCCACTTCCTAAGGCTTTGAACTTTCTGGTCTTTTTTCCTGGTTACCCGGGGAAAGGGCAGTATAAACCCAGCATGTTCGTGGAAAGCACTGGGAAAAAACTTTTGCACCTCTCGGTATTAGAATATTAATTAGAAGCACAAATTACTTTGACGTGTGAAGTAGGTACATGCAGCTAGCTATGTTGTTACGTCATGCCAGGTACAGTTTTGCTTTTTGCCCTTGTTACTAACTAGTGACTGCTGATTTCTGCTCTCTATGGCAACCGCTGCTCATACCTGCCGACTCCGCTTTGCTCTATAACGGCCCTGCTACCTAAGTGCAGATTCTTCCCTCAGGGATGTTTGGGGCCCGGCCAAAACCCCCCTCTACCCGTCCTCCCTGACCACACCAGCTTGCAAGATCCCTCTGTGAGATCTTGAGATCTACTATGAGAGACAAATCCTGTAAACATTTTGGTGTGTTTTCTTCCGGTCTTTTTTTCTTCTTCCTACATATATGATTTTATAGAGTTAAGATCATACTGTACCTATAATATTGTATCCTGTCTTTAACTTTTGGCCTTATTGTAAGCCATTTATAAATAAGATTATAAAAGTTACATAATATTTCCCAGAGTGGATGGATTATGATTTACTTCTATTTGCTTTGTCATGCATGTTTCTCTTACTAGTCCAGTCGGATCATGAGTTTATCAAAGGGGAGTCACCCTTCTGTGTTATCCCCCTTCTCTTTACTCCGTTGGCTCTAGAAGATGTTGTATATGTAGATGATAAGTAAATATTTTGCCTGCTTCTCTGTTTGCAGTCTAAATGTTACAGGAACGTTTTGCCATTGGAGACCCCCAAAATACTACTTGTGTCTTACTCGGAGTCATTCCATCACCCAAGTCTCTCCATCTAGAAAAAGGGGCCCTGGGGAAATATTTGCATGTATTTGAGAGGGGTCATCATCCTCTGGAATTCCATGAGAAGCTTTTGTGCATTTCCCTGTGGTTTTCACTAGATTCTCCTGAGGGTCCTTCTCTAAAAAAGCAACTGACACACAGGCTGAATGAAGGCCGTCTGGAGATGGATGGTGTCCATTAAACTTATCTGAGGTCGAAGATACCATTTTTCTCCTTTCATTGTTCTTGGTTTTCAGGAAGGGATGAGACCATGCAGCCTGCAAAACCATCGTTCCTTGAATACTTTGAACAAAAAGAAAAGGAAAATCAGATAAACAGCTTTGGCAAAAGTGTACCCAGCCCGCTGAGGAACTCCTCAGATTGGAAAGTGCCGCAGGATGGAGACTATGAGTTTGTAAGTAGTACGCGGAGTAAGTGGTTCTGTCTGCTGGGCAGTTGTTTGCCACAGCGCACATCCTGTTCTGTCATGTCACCGAAAGCACTAGAGCATTTTCTCGTGCAGTGAGGGCCTCTGGCCATCAGGCTGAGGGCCTCATGAGCTTGAAACAACATCCTGGCTGACATCAGAGCAGGTCTGGGGCTCCCAGTTGGTGGCATCTTCTTTGCTTTAGAAATCCTTTATTCACTTTGCCATTTGTCTTTTTGTCGAGCTTGGAATTATTAATGGTGAAAGAAATCCTCATCGAGTAAGGACGCACATTCCCAGTTGATTTGGGATCGCGACTTTATATTTAAGAATTACACAGGAGTTCATGCTGGTTGGTAGTATCTTTGCTGTTTTGCTAACCATTATCCTAATTTTAGGTTCTCTGAGAGGATTATTCTGAACGTTGCCTGAGTATGAATATTAAATTGTTCCAAAGTTTCTTATGAAAAACTGGGTGTGTTTTTCCTTTCTCTGCAGTGGAACATTCTCCCTCAACCACAGACACGTGTTAATGTTCACAGAGATTTAATGAGCAGAGGCAATAAAAAAAATTGGGGGGGAAGTAAGCTAAGGAGTCTGCATTCCTTTTTTGAATATTTTTAGAAAAGAATTTCCTCTTTGGGGATTTTTACCTTTTACACTCTTAAATTCTGTCATGATTCTGATGTTGCCTATAAAAGAACTCAGACTGGGCACTGTGATTGGATTCTGGGAGGCCTTTCTGGTCCTGGCTTTCCGCCCTCCTACTCACTGGCCTCGAGGTAATGACCTCTGTCTCCCATACGTAACTTCTACCGTTGTACAATAGCAGGAATGTCATAGTTTGTGCTAATGGAGACAGAGATCATTTGAGGACCAGAAAAACCCACTTGAGGCTGTTTTACTGTTGAGTCACTGAAGCCCTGTTAGAGCCCCACTTCATGTGCCTTATTACCATTACTATCGGCCATTCACTCATTTATTAGTAGACTCGTGAGATTTGAATTATTTTTGCGATTCTGTGTTGCCCACGCAGCTGCCTTCAGCATATTTGTAAGGACTGATTTTCTCAGTTGAGTGAGTCTCTAGGCAAAGATGAAATGACTTCCGGATACCAGATGCCATCATCGTGACAGAAAGCTTCAGAATCCTCAACTCTGTATTCCTAGGTGTAATGTCCTTTCCTTTGATAAAAGTTAGTGATCCTGAAATTCCAATCACTTTAATCATTATTTTTGGATTGGTAGTTCCAGTGTTTGAAGAATTCTCTTCCCTCTGCCATAGTTTTCCCGTACTAGGATCACTGGCAGAGAACTTGTTTCGGCGGGCAAGCTGCTTATGCAGAGAGGCTTTCTTTCGTAGGTCTCTGAGAGCGTGCTTCCCCCTCTGGAAGTGGGCGACCGCTGGAGGGAGTGGCCGTGAGCACCGCGGGTGGGTGAGCACATTGCCCAACCTGGATGGCACCTGGCTCAGGCGGGAGGAGGTCCTGAGCCCGCCGTCTCCACAGAGCTTGTAAGCTGGCAGCTTCCAGCCCACAGACCTTTTTGTGTGTCCTGTATTGTGTTTACAAACCTTTAAGTAGCTGCCCAGGTTTGAAAATTGAGAGCTTTTAGATAAAACGTTAGATCACTGGCTTATTTTGACAACGTGGAAGACGTGGCCATACCTGTCTGGAGCTGCGCAGCAGCTGCCCTTGTTAGGTCCGGTTCTCAGTGTTTGGCCCCCTTCATTCATGTCTGGTATTTAGGGGCATTGGACACTGGGCTTCTTGCTCTAAATCTTAGGGTGAGTATATGTCCACGTTGTGCCTGAGCCAACCCATCCTACCACATACAATTTTATTCTTTTACTGTCCAGTCTCAACAGACTCAATTTTTAGCTTGTCTTTTAAGAGAATCTCAAACCAAGCAATGAAAGAAAGTTTCGGTGGGGTGTACATGAGCTGCTATTTCAAAAAGTACCAGAGATCAAATGAAAATGATTTTTAATGCCTTGATGCTCTTGCTAGGTAGCTCTCGCCTTGACCCCAAACCAAGCATTTGAAATAACAGCCACAAACAGTTTCTTAAAGTATCTTCCCCGGACCAGCAGTGTTGATATCACTTGGAAACTTGTTAGAAATGGAGACTTACTGAGTCAGGGTCTCTGGGGACAGCACGGAGTAGTCTGCTCTAACCCACCTTACAACTTGCTAACTTCTGGTCTGAAGGTTTTTAGAGTGCAGCATATCTTTACATGAGTTTCTTTTTTCTTTCCTATTGGCACTATAGAAGTTCAGAAATAAGGACATATTCATATTTTATTAGCATCGCATGATTTCTTAAAATTTCCTTTTTACTTCCTTTTGCGTCTCCTGTTCTCCTACTGGGGTTACCAAAGGCGCACAGAAAAGAAGGAAAATATCCATTTGTAAGTGACATTTGGCGAAGAATGAGCCAATTTTCTGCATGAAGGAAGTATTCTGAATAATTTCACTGAGTTTGTAGCAGGTTGGGTGTCAGCCTAGCTAATGTGGCCTCCCTCAACAATCTCTTACAGATGCTCTGATTTCCCAACAGGCACTTAACAGTATTTAGCTATGAAACTTAATACATTTAACAGGTTTTAATTATGAAAAAGATATTCTCTTTCTTCCTGTGAAGGCAATTGCTATTTTGAAGTGAACTTTTTGCCCAAAATGGCAAATAGTAAGTAATTTTGTCAGAAGTGGTAGAATTGGATACTGACAAAAACCTGTCATATTTTCATCTGAAATTGAACACTTTTGCATTTCTAAAATTGAATAACCTTATTTGCCATGTTGGAAAAGCAACAGAGGCTCCTTTAATGTTTAATATGTATTGTGATTAAGGTGTAAATAAAAGATGCTGGAAAATGAAATATTCTCCAAAATCAGCATTTCAGAGTCCGTAAACAGATCGCAAGCAATGAAAGTTGCTTTGAGGAAAATTCAGACCTTCCCATTTTGCCGTTTGTAAAACCACAAAAAGCCGTAAGCTTAAATCCAGTTTGGCTCACGAATCTTCCAGAAACACACTGTAATCTTTTAGTCTAAGGTGGCTGGGATGCCAAGAGGGGTAAAAAGACAGATGAGGCCCACGCTGCCCTGGAGCTGGCATTGGGGAGGGAGACAGACATTAGGTCAGGTGACCTATCAGTGCAGGTAATAATGGCATTGAAGGAAAAAAAAAGCCACAGTAAAGAGACAGCATGAAAAAAGGTCGTGCAGAGCAAAGGGACATTCAGCCAAGACCTGAGTGAAGACGGGCAGCACAGACAAAGGCTCTGAAGCCAGATGTGGCGGGCGTGATGTCAGAACAAAGTCCATCATGGCGGGAGCAGAGGGACAGCATGGGAGATGGCTGCCCAGATGTAAACCCTCCGTAATTACAGACGTGGGAGTCGTTAAAATCACCTTGGGATCAAAATAACAGTCAAAATCCAGCTAAACTTGTTAGTAAGAGATAATAACTAAAATAAAATATCACTGAAAAGTTTAAAACAGAAGAGTGGAAAAAGACACTCAGCAAAATCCTCGCTAAAAGGAAGTCGGTGAAAGAATATTAATATCAGATAAAATAGAATCCAAGACATAGTAGCATGAGGAAAAGATACGTTTTGCATTGCTTAGAGGTGTGCTTGGTGCTTGGTCAGAAGACCTAAGTCGTGAACTTCTGTGAGCACGTGTACTTCTCCCAAACTGCTCGAGATGCAGGTGGCCATGGGGAAACAGCAGTCCTAGATGAAGGCGGAAATGTTCTTCTCCTTAATCCGGACACTTCAGTTAGACAAAAACCAACAGTACCACAGTTAACAAGGTTGATAAAACAGAAAATAGGAACACTTTTCAAATCTTCATGACGCTTTTAAAACACATATGGAACAGTCACAGAATTTGACTATGTTTGAAAGTGCTCGGAAAGATATCCCAGACTGAAATCATACAGGCCACGTTCACGGACTATATAACACAAGAAAATTAGAAATTAACAATAAAGTGGCTAAAACCACTTTGTTCCATTTGGAAATGTAGGAGTATATCTCCAAATATTTGTTGTTTTCAAGATAAAGTAGAACTTGTAAACCATTTGGAAATAAATTACAAGTACGCTGCAGAGTTCAGATCTGTAAATTAAACCTGTGGGATGTGCATAAATGGATCTCTGAGGAAGATTTATAGCCTTAAGTGCATTTTCTTTTTAGGATATAAGAAAGGCTGAAAATAAGACAAAACAGGGTAAAGGTAAGAGCAGAATTCAGTGAATTAGAAAACAACAAAGTTGATTGATAAAACCAAATGCTGGTTCTTGGGAAGGACCAACACATGACAGATTCGATCAAGTTGGTCCCAAAATACTGTGAGAGAGAAGGGGAAGGGTGGTACTAAAGGTAGAGGAGTGTCAGAGTGGTAAGAGAGTATTATTGGGTATGATGTGATATGTCTACACTTGAAAACCCAGGTACATAGATGTCTAAAACACAGCTCATAGTTACTTCCCATACAGAAATGTAAAGAATCAAGATATTTTTGAACCAGAAGGACAGTGAGGTTGGACTTTTACCTCCAGGCGTCAAAACACACAAAACCACAGCAATGAAAGCATTGTGGTAACTGGCACAAGAATAGAACACAGCTTAGTGTAGAGAATAGAGTCGAGAAACATGCCTGTATATTTATAGGAGTCTGTGTAACAACAGTAGAATGCAAAGTAATGTAAACAATGTGATACCATTTGTGTAGTTTTTTAATAACCACAAAACATGCTACATATTTCTGGATATGTGTACATAGGCGACTGCAGAGATAAAAAACACAACATATGAAATGATCTGATGAGTCATTATCTTGAGAACATCAGTTTTAACTTTTTATAGCAAGAATTTATTACTCTATTAAACTATTGCTTAAATTTGAAAAAAATAGAATGTTTTAAAATATTCTACATAGATTTTTCTGTTTGTTTTGTTTTTTTTTTTAGGTTTATTTT